GGGCTTCCTATCGGGGTGATGGAATGTTCTGGAACTAGGTAGTGGTGATGGTTGCACAACCTTGTGAATGTACTAAATGCCACTGAATTGTACACTTTAGGATTGATGATTAAATTTGTTGTGTGAATTTTGCATCAATTTTTAAGGTAAACTATGGTGATGGGAGCTAGGATAGCAGGAGAGCTATGGGTGGTGCCGACCCGAAGGGCACCAGGCAGCTCTCTAGCTCAGTCTGGATGCCATGCACCTGAGACTTGCTTACACACTGTACTATATGTGTGCTGTCCCTCAATTTTAAAGTTGGGGGGAAAAAAAAAGGACATCCCACAGATACTTATTACTTATTAATTATAAAGGAAACAAATGGTAACTTTACCAGGGAGAAATGTCACCTTAACCAATGTGCTACTTTCCTGGGGCTGCTGTAACAAAGCACTAGAAACTGGACAGCTTAAAACAACACAGAAATATTCTCTAGTTCTGGAGGCCAGACGTCCAAAGTTGAGGTGTTAGCCAGGCTGCACTCCACCTAAAGGCTTCGTGGAGGGTCAGGCCTTATCTCCTCCAGCTTTCAGTGGCGGGGGACAGCAATCCTTGGCTTGCAGACACATCAATCCAGTGTTTGTCTCCATCTTCACATGGCCTTCTCCCTAAATGTCTGTGTCCAAGATTCCTTCTTCTTATAAGGACAACTGTCATTGAATTGGAGCCCCCCGCCCACTCCAGGATGACTTCATTTAAACTTGACTACATCTACAAAGACCCCATTTCCAAATAAGGCCACATTCGCAGGTTCGATAGAGATGAATTGAATAGGGACCGTTCAACCCAGTAACAGAGGAAGGGGACTGTGGTGAAGCAGCAAAGGCACAATTGAGTGACCAAAAGGTCACCAAAAGGCTAGCAGAGATGGGAATTCTGCCAGATGGTCAATGACACTCTGGGATACCTGGTAATTTTCTTACATGGAAGGACGGACTGTGGGTCTGCAGGAGGAAAGGAGACCATGTGGAAGCATTTAACAGCAACTGTCATGCACTGGCAACTTCCTAGTGGTTCACCAAACTATACACAGGGATGAATGGCATCTAGAGAAGGTAACGCTTTCATAGTCATGGTTTCAGGTGCACAAGCGATCCATTCGTCCAGCTTTGCCGTACGTTTGAAAGGTTTATAATAAAAAAAAAAAATCAACCTTTCAAAAAGGACGGGATAAAGACCCGTTCTTTTACACAATGTTCGAGGTCCCCAGTCTCACATCTCGAATCCTAAGGTCTGGCTGGGCGCCGCCCCTTTGCAGATACCCCTTCCCGGGAGTCCCCACCTCCCACCGCAGGCCAAGGTTTCGGCAGGTTCCGATTCTGTCGTCTGCGGAGGAGCTTTTAATGGGGATTTGGATAGCAGGATGCCCCCACCGAGGTTCTCACCGACCAGACTCTCCTGCGCTACCGGAATGGGGAGAGGAATGCTTAACCTGCGCATGCGTGTCCCCCACCCACCTGCAGCCCTCTACCCGCCTCTAGTCACGTGATGCCATGGGAACCCCGACCCCAGCGCCTCCCGGCTGGGGGCGCCCAGCGGAGCTCTGGCTGGAGATGGGGGTCCGGAGTGGTGGGGAGAGAGAGGAGACACCTGGCTCCCAGGGTCCGGGGCTGTCCGAGAGGAAGTGGGGGAAGGGAGCCCCAGTCCCCAGGTTGGAGGGTCCGAGGATGGCATGTCAACGGTCCTGGCCAACGCACTCACCCGAACGATGTAGGAGACCCCCGGCCCCAGGACCCTGGCATCTGGGTGTAGCCAGCCGTGCGCCGGCTTGTGGATGAAGCTGCCTTTGCGGATCCACTCGTCGGTGGCGGAGTCTGGGGGCCCGGCAGCGCCCCGCGAGCCCCGAGACCCCCGCGTCCCGGCGGTCCGGCAGCGGCTGAGAGCCGGCAGGGGGCAGGGCGCGGCGCAGCGCGGCTCGCAGGCGCCCAGGACCGCGGCCGCCAGAGCAGGGACACTAGCCGGACCGGCCTGCTCCGGCTGGGGATCGGCGCCCCCCGCGGCCCCAGCGCCCCCCGCCGCCCGCGCCGCAGCCGGGCCGCGGCCCAGGAAGCCGGCCGGAGCCGCAAACTTCCATTGCGGCATGCGCGGCAGCAGCGCGCAGAAGGTGGTGGGCGCCTCGGGTTCCGGGGGCGCAGGAGGTGCGGGGGCCGCGCGCCCGCCCGGACCCTGCGTCATGGCCGCGGCCGCCGGACAGAGCCCGACCGGGCGCTGAGCCTGGCGCGGAGGAGGCCCTCTGTCTCCCTCTCGTTCCCTCCCCGCCCCCGGCCCGGTGATGTCATCCGCCCGGCCCAGCGCGCAGCCGCGGGGGGCTGCGCCCCTGGGACCCCGGCCCTCGGCATCCAGGCGCCTGGCGGAACGGCTGGGGAAACTGAGGCCCGCCGAGGGCACGAAGCCGACTCGGATCAGGCAGCCAGGGAGGGAGCCTGTGTTTCCAACCCAGGACCCAGACGAGGAACCCCTACTTCGCCCCCCACCCGTCGACCAAGTTCTTAGGAGGACAGAGGTGGGAGAGACTTAGAAATGACCCCCCTTTCTCCCTATTTGACTGAGGGGGAAACTGAGGCCTGGAGAGGCGCGGAGGCCCAGTCAGAGAAGAAAGCCCCAACCCCAAGATCAGCCCCCTCCATTCCCACTGTTCCAGCCGGCAGATACTTGAAAAATCAGGCCCTAATGGGGAAACTGAGACCCGGAGATGGGAAAGTGTGTGAAGGCACACTGCGGAGACTTGGACCCAGTAGTGCCGGGTTGGGCTGGCTTGGTCTGGGAGGTGGGGAGGCTCAGAGCGAAACCTAGTCCCTACTCTGCTGCCTTTCCCTGGGCCTCAGTTTCCCCGGTTGTAAGCTAGGGGCATGGGCTGGAGGGGCATGGGCAGGATCCATATCAGGGAAGCACTGTCCGGCAACAACCCCACAGAGCCCCTGGGCCTCAGCCTCCCCTGCCTGCGGGCCCCTCCGGCCGCAGCGTCTTCATCCCCACCCAAGCCTCAAGGCGTGATTCCCTCTGCACCGGGGAACTGGATGTCACGGTCACCCCAGGACTCAGCTTCCTAGTCTGTCTCGACCCATCCTCCTGCCCCCTCCCCTCCAGCCCCACCCCAGGCAGGGCTGACTGCTGGGAAACAAAAGGAGGGGGCCGGGGTGCGCGGGCAGGTGAGGAAAGAGGGGCGAGGCCCTTGGAGCCGGATCAATAAATCAGAGAGATGAGATCACAGTCCGGCCGGCCGCCGCAAGTCGGGAGGAGGTGGCGATGGTCTCTGGGCGGGGCGAGCCCGGCCGCGATTGGCCTGCAACCCGGAGCAGCGGTGGGGGAGAAGAGGGAGGCCGCGTCGCCGCCAGACGCTGTGGGTGTCGCGCTGCAGTCGCTATTGTTCGTCGCGCCCGCGGGGTCTGGGGTGTGAGTGCAGAGGGCCGGTCCTTTGGGTCTGGGGGCGGGGGAGGGGAGGAAGGCATGTCGGGGTTGGGAGCCCCTTTCTGGATTGTGTGTGCTGTGTGTCTCGTGATTTACATACATGTGAACTGTGTGAGGGTCGCGTTTGTGTGTATGTGCAGATGTGAACACGTGTGTGCGTGTGAGGAGGGGTTCTGGGTTCCCTCAGTATATGATTAGTGGGTCCATGTGCATTTCAAGGTGGGTGCGTAGGGTCCTCGTGTGTGTCCAGGTGTGTGTAGGGGTCTTGGTGTGTGCCCATGCATGTGTGTAGAGATCCAATGTGTGTCCAAAAGATGTGTGTTCAACTTTAGCCTCCCCGGGCTGGGGAAAGGGACAGTTAGGAAGGAGTTAACACCCGCCCTAGGCCCCTCTGGGTCTTCCCGGCGCCCCCACCACCACGTGTTGCTGTCCCTCGGACCCTGTCCTCCAGGTAAGTGAGCAAATGGCAGCCTCTCCCTCCCAGGTTACTGAGTTAAGGTCTTTCTGGGTTGCAGTTTTTAAGGCCTGGGCTTAGGTGTCATCACACAGAGGGCTTGGTCACATGACACCGAGGAAAGAATGGCAGGAACAGAGCCCAATGGCCAGAATTCAAATCCTGACATTGGACAATCGCTAGGACTTATGGTGCGCCCTCAGACAAGCGTCCAATCCAGGCAGCCCAATTTCCTCTCGGTAAACATTGCCTACCTTCTGACTTGCTGTGAAGCTTAAGTGCTCTTTATCAAAATCTGATGACTATTAGCATACATCAAACTCCTACACATCCTTCAAAACCCAGCTTCAATGTCCCCTCTTCCAAGAAGCCTACCTGGCTCCCCCCACTCAAAGCTCGGGCTCCACCTCTGCCTTCCCTCAGCTCTGGACCCCTCCTCCGATCCCATCCAGACCCCAAGGGGCTGCAGAGTTAGGGGTCTGAATGTTGAGAGCCATGTTTCAGATCTTCTGTGATGTAAACAGACCTGGAGTAAATCAGTGCCCGTGTGTGCTGCTGACAGCTCTTGGTGCCACAGAGATTTATTGGCAAGCAGCTAGAGAGTGGGATGGGGTGAGGAGGGCATCAGGGCTGCTTCCAGCCTGATTTTGGGCTGGGACCAGGTCAGGAAGCTGTGCTTCCATGAGAAACAGGTTAGAGCCCAAGTTTGGCAGAAACCTGAGCTGTTTCGGGGACCCAGGCCCTAGCAGGGCGGACGCCGAGTTCTAGGACACAGGAAGCTCCGTCTCGGGCCAGCCACTGGGGAGGGCCAGGGGTGTCCCTTTCTCCACCTGGCCTCACTTGGCCTGGCATGACCAAGAGAGGAGAAACTGGGGCGCTGGAAGGAGGCTCACCCTGCACAGGGCCATGAGGTCACAGCCCCCAGGGACTGGAGGAAGCAGGTGGCCTAGAAGGACCTCAGACAGTTCAGCTTCCCTGAGCTGTCCCACCCCAGCAAAAGCCAGGCCCAGGAAGGGCCTGCCCACGCTCCGCTTCAGGGTGTAGGAAAACTGAGGCTTAACCCAGGTGCTGGCCTGCATCCTGTCCCCTAAAGGCATCAGGGTGTTGTGTCTGGGGCCATGGTGGAGGCCCGTTTGGAGTGTCGGATGCCCATGGTGAACGCCGGGGCCCTGGCTTTGGTAATGGTGACCTGCTCGGGGCTGTGGGTGCCAGGGCCAGGCGTCTCATCCGGGGGGCGCGGGGCACGGGGCCGCCCCAGCATGGTGAAGGCGGGTCGGCGCTGACGGTAGGTGTTGGGATCTGGGCTGTCATACTGGCCCGGGCCTGGTATTTCAGCGGGGTCTTGTGCAGGGCGGGCGGGGGGTGTGCGGCCCACCACGGTGTAACTGGGGCTGCTGGGCTTGATGAAAATCTGGGCGCCCCAGAGAGAGGGCAAGGTGTAGGCATTGGGGGCAGGGACTGAGGTGTCCAGAGGCTGTGGACGCAGGCGGGAGCCCAGGGTGAAAGCTGGAGGGGTCCGCTGGCGCACAGGGGCCACCTTCTCTGGGCTGTAGGCCCCAGGGCCGGGGGTCACCTCCAGACCTGTGAAAATGGGGCAGGAAGGTTGGCAATGAACAGAGTGCTCACCTGATCAAAGACCTTGCATGGCTCCCCATTGCCCACAGGCATCCTGGAGCTCACGGCAGCCCTGAAGAAGTCCGGGTGATTTCTCCCCCTTCCCTACCTTGCCACACCGTCTATTCTCTTTCAGGCCTCCAGGTCTTTGCCCAAGCTCAGCCCTCTGCCAGGCAAGCCTTCTGTTTCCCAATCCCACCTCCCAGGAGCTACTTCTCATCCTTCCAGAGAGCCCCGCTGCCCCTCCTCCCCGTTGCCTTCCCCACAGCCCTTCTAGAACGAGGCTGCATCTTCCCGTCTCTGGACATGGCCACACTGCAGGGGGACAGTCCCCACCTGGGTCTAACTCCACCATTCTGGGGACTCAGAAAAAACAAGGATGTGTCAAATCTACTAAGACTCCCATCAGTTGGTCTAATACATGTTTGGGAGGGTGAGCGAGTAGAGGATGTGTTGTGAGTGGTTGGATGAGAAGGGAATGAGTAGACGAATGAGTCCATGGGTTTGTAGACAGATTGCTGGATGGATCCTGGGTGGATGGATCCTGGATGGACGCATGTGTGCGTCGGTGGCTGGATAAATGGATTAACGGATGGATTGGATGATGAACCAGTGGAGGGGTTGGTAGGTTGATGAGTAGATAGGTGGGTAGGTGGATGGATGAATAAGTGGGTGAATGAGTGGTAGATGGGTGATAGATGAAAAGATGAAATGGTGGGTGAAATGGAAGGGAGCCTGGAGTCAGGTAATAAAATCAGGTGCTTTCGGGCAAAGTAAACTGTTTGCAGCCTGTGAAGGGGGTTTCCACATTGGCCCCAGTCCCCACTACTCCCTGTTGTCTCCTGATGCTGAGGATGAGCCCCAGCTGCCCCGGCAGCACCATGTGTGCACAGGGTCACCATCGCCGTGGCCCACTTCACTCCTTCAGGTCCTCATAGGGCCCAGCCCCTCTTCTGAGGTCTTGGGTTTTGTCATTCCAACGACACTCATGTTCTGAGAACTTGGGAATAGGAGGGAAAGGAGAGGACAGAGGCAGGAGAGGCCCTGAGACCCTGAAGGGGCGGGGCCCTCAGGGGGTAGCACAGGCCGGATACTCACCCCGAGACTTGCCCCGGCCCTGTATGGAGTAAGCAGGGGTGCAGCTTCGACCAAACCGGGTGACTTTTGGGTCCAGGAAGTAGACTGGCCCAGGGCTGGTGTCCTGTGGAGATGCTGGGGAGGGGAGCCCAGGGTCCTGAGTGCGCCCCACTCCGATGGCCCCACGGCCCCCACTCAGCGCTCCTGGTTCGCTCTGAGTCTTGTCCAGCCTCCAGACACCCCCAGCCCCGTCTTGGTGAGCAGGGACCTCATCCCATGGAGGTCTGATGGCCCTGACGGTGGACCTGGATCTCTACTTTGACTTTGTCTTGATGAGCGTTTTTGTCCCCCCACCCCGATCAGAGCTGTGCCACCCCCCAACCTCTCCTCTGCCGTGAGCCACGGGACCAGTTCTAGAGCAACCAGCTCGTGGGCTGGCTGGAATTACACGTGAAGGGAGAGTAACAAGGCTCTGACTAAGGGGCTGAGGAGGGTCCTTTTAGTGCCTGGGCTTGTTGGCATTGACAAGCGTAAGGGAGGGGCTTTAAGTCACATATAAATCCCAGCCGGGCCTCTGTGAGCCGTGTCCTTGGGACGGTCAAAGCCTCCTTTTCTTCAGTAGGATGAGAAGCTTGAAAAATTAGGCCATCCGTGGAAGGGGCAGTCCAGAGCCTGGCACTTAGTAATTGGGACCAATGACTGTGACTACCATTACTACTTTTTATAAGAACATTCAGGGACAAACGTATAGTCGGTTTGACAAGTATTAATTGGTTTATGTGTGAACATGTATGTGCTCACATATGGCACCAGCACACACGTGAAGCACGTCTGTGACGAATGAGCACATCCCAACTCATCCCATTTCCCACCTCCAGGCCTTTGCCTATGCTGCAAACTCGGCCCGGAGTCCCCTTCTTCTCCTGGGGGTCCAGTGAACTCCTACTCATCCTACAAAGCCCAGATCCCATGCTTCCACCTCCAAGAAGTCCCTGAGCATTCAGAAAAGTCCACACTAACCATACCCACCCCGATTCCTGATTCCCCAGATGTGTCCTGTGACTCGAATGAGAACCGGGAACCCAGGCTGCTCTGGGCCATAGGCTCAGTTCTTAACCTTCCCAGTGACAGATGTGACACTGATTCCTTCCCTTGCCTTCTAGGGCCTCTTGACACTCCCTGAGTTCTCTTTCAGTTGGTTTGGGATTTTTGCTGATTCTGAAGGCGACTCTGCCAGCCGCCCCCTCCCAACAAGGCTCCATGTGCAGGAATCAAACCCCGCACGTGAGACCCTTCTGGGCCCTGTGCTGACCGGCTTGGGACCTCAGAGCCGCTCTAGAAAATGGGCTGATGGAGTGTGCGAACATCGGCGTGAGGGGCACAGGCTTGTGGGATGAATTGTGATAACTCCACTGAGAGAATGGACAGCTGACCCTGGCTCGGGGCCACCTGCACCCCTGCACTTGGTGCTCCCTCATACGCACTCTGGCCAGGAGAAAAGTGGACATCACAGAGGGCAGGTCGCCCGCTGACCAGGCAAGCCCCACAGCCTGCAGTCTCGCCACCCCTGCCTGCCTAAACAGCTAAGAATGTTCATTCTTCCCTCACCACGTGCTGTGCGGTAAGCAAGGCCTGGGGAGCCCCTCGCTTGTTGATGGAGAAACTGAAGCTGGCACTTGCTCTCCAAGCCCACTTTTCTGAGAACTGACCAGTTACCCAGCATTATTGTTGCTACTTTTAAGGCACTTAACTCTCACTTAATGAACATATCCAGGCATCTAATGTTTAGTTAATTCTGGCAACTGTGCAGGGAGTGTATCACGTTGTTTACAGAGGAGGAAACTGAGGCACAGAGCAGTCAAGCAGCAAGAAATGTGCAAAGTGCAGGAGGCAAATGCCGGTCCTAACCACCACACTACTCTTTCCACTCTCTTTCTTTATAAGGAAACAGAGGACCAGAGAGGCACAGTGGCTTCCTGAGGTCACACAGCAAACCAGGGATCGAGTGACCCACCTGGATTCCTGCCTCACTCAGTGGAGCCTGGATCTATCAAGTGAGAAAATGCACACTGGGCGGACTGGAGGTCCAGGAGGCCTCACAGCACCCCCTCGCCCACCCCTACCGCCCTGCCCACCAACCAGCCTTACCCTCACTGGGTCTGCGGAGGAGTGAGTAGGCAGGACTGGCGACCCTGGTGCAGTCATGGTTGATGTAGCCGACTGTGGATGGCAGGGCGTACAAGCCCGGCCCAGAGCCTGCAACCAAAGCCCTCCAGTCACAGCCTGGGCCTAGGTCCCCTGAAATGTGATGGGGAGCTCAGGGCCCAGCCCCGGAGCCCCCACCCAGGCCACCAGCCATCCTCCATGGCAGGGGTGAGGGGAGCAGGACCTGCCTCCTGCAAACAAGCATTGTGTGTCGAACATGAATCACAGGGAGGGGCTGCGGGCCCAGGAGCCTCCCCCGCCCTGAGGCACATGAGATGGGGTGACTGAGGCCCAGACACAGAGACATGTTTTCACATGTTGTCACAGGTGGGGATACTGAGGCCCAGACACTGAAACACACTGTCATACGGAGGGAAACTGAGGCCAAGATACAGAAATACACTGTCACGGGGGGAAACTGAGGCCCAGACACCAAGATAGTATCACAGTTGCAATGTTTGGTAACCTCTGCAAGAATGTCAGTGCCACAAGAGCCAGGAAATCCTGCCATGGGGCCCGACTCCAGATGTCTTGTTACAGACAGGGAAACTGAGGCACGGGCTAGGACCATGAGATCCCACAGTGAACATCGCAGTTGGGATGTTCAGCTCACGGATGAATACACCAGACTCTTCCCACTGATTCGCCTGGCATTCATCCCCCACGGGCCCTTGGCTGTTTGGTTCTTGGCTGTACACTCAGCACCCAGAGGGTACATGGCCCATAAAGTTCTCATTGGTGGAGGCATGTTCAGGAGCCGTAGAAACGCTATGATCACGCCTATCCTACTGGACAGAAAACAGAAGGGCGGACACCCTTCCCAGAGGCTCCTGCTTTCCTCTGGGCTCCCAGAAAGGGTCCCCCCCCGGCCCCCCTCCTCCATGGCCTGCATGTACCGTTCTCCAAGGTGGCCACCCCGCAGGTCTTCCTCAGGCCGGTCTCTGGAATCTGGCACTCTGTGGCCCGCCGGCCCAGGGGCGCTGTGGTCAGCTGTGGAGCGGGGTCACAGCTGAGGGTCCCCATGTTGAGCAGGAGTGGTTGCAGGAGCACAGGGCTGCGCAGCACCCACACCTGATGCTGTCTCTTCAACCGCAGTGGCTCTGGGCCGCAAGGTCCAGCACCGTCCCAGTCCTCGAGCCTTCTGCCTGAGTTGGCAGGGCCCTGGACTTACCACACCCTCCCAGGGACCGCACAGACGGCCCCTTGTCCTTCAGCAGGGAGTCTTGGGGCCCTGGCCCAAGCAGGCTGGTCGGCAGACGCTGGCCTGGAAGTGGGGCTAGGATCGAGTGTCGGCCAGATGGCTGGACAGTCCAGGGAAGAATCCGGTGTCAGCAGAGCGGGTCCCCTGGGAGACGGTGGAGCTGGGCAGCCGGGGCCAGAGCAGGCCCCAGGGGAGCTGGAGCCACAAACACAACACCCACAGCCTTGTAGCAGGAGGGGCTGGTGAGGTCATGCGCGGCATGGCCCCATTTCTACACCTGGGGAAACTGAGGTGCAGCCCGAGGTCCACAGCATGTTCGCCACTGGGCCAAGGGGCCTTTCTTTTCTTTCTTTCTTTCTTTCTTTCTTTCTTTCTTTCTTTCTTTCTTTCTTTCTTTCTTTCTTTCTTTCTTTTCTTTCTTTCTTTTCTTTCTCTTCCTTCCTTCCTTCCATCCTTCCTTCCTTCCTTCCTTCCTTCCTTTCCTTCCTTCCTTCTTCCTTCCTTCCTTCCTTCCTCCAGTAAACATTTCTGGAGCACCAACTGTGTACTAGGTTGTTTGGGTTGGTAGGGACACAACAGGATAGACAGGGAGCTGACGTTCTTGGGAGGAGAAAGAGAAAATAAACAAAAAATAATAAATGAGACTAGTATATTACAAGGCGTTAAATGTGCTGTAAAACACAAAGCAGGGTCAGGAGTCCAAGACGGCAATGAGAGGACCGCCGAGTGCCAGTTAGGGCAGGATGAGAGGCCACTGCATTGAGAAGGGAAGAGGGTAAGGGAACAGCCGTGCAAAGGCTCTGGCACAGGAGCAAGGAGAGTGAGGAGGCAGTATGGTCCTCCAGAACAGCCACTGCCTCCCAGAAGCCAACAGGAATTCACTCCAGCCCAATCTAGAGTTAATCTAGGGTAACATCCCTGGCTGCCCCAAAGGCCCCCACTGTGTCAGGCTGCAAATCAGGGCTCAGGGAAACCTGGCCGAACAGAACTTAGTCTTGTCCTTTCCATGGTATCCTTGTCTGCAGCTGTATTATCGGGCCCCTTGGCACTGTAATTTTTTAACAACTATTGAGTTATAATTCACATGCTGTACAATTCACTCCGCAATCTAATTGTAATTAATTAATTTAATTACATTCTGTAACTTTTAAACTTTTTATTCAGCTCTGCCTGGTGTGGCTCAGTGGATTCAGCACTGGCCTGTGAACCAAAGGGTTGCCAGTTCAATTCCCAGTCAGGGCACATGCCTGGGTTGTGGGCCAGGTCCCCAGTAGGGGGCGCACAAGAGGCAACTGCACATTGATGCTTCTCTTTCTTCCTTCCTCTCTCTCTAAAAATAAGTAAATAAATAAAATCTTTTTTAAAAAACCTTTTAAATCAAAATGTTTCAGTCTATATAAAAGGTCATAAAACAAGTTTTAAATGCTTGTATTAGAAAAGAAGAAAGATCAAAGTTAAGGGTCAAAGGTTTCTTCCAGATTCTAAGCTCAGCTTTCTGGGGGTACTGAACATACATGGTGGACTCCTGAAGCCCTAAGAATAAAAGCTAAGCCCTCATTGTCACACGAGGCTCTCTTGAGCCCTCTATCCTTGCCCCCACCCCTCAGTCCTTGCTCACTCTGCTGGGCCACATCAGCTACCTTGTTATTCCTTGAGCCACTAGGACAGTTCCCACCTCAGGGCCTGCACCTGCCCTCTCTCCACCTGGATGCCTTTACTTGTATCCCCTCCACCTGGATGCCTTAGCCAACAAATGAGCCCACAGTCAACTCCACTCTCAGTCACCTCTGGGCCCCCAACATTGGACAAGCCATTTGATTTTTTTCTGGAAGCAGCAGAAACCCCAGAGCTGTGGACAGAACCAGGCACTGAGGAAGGAGGTGAAAGATAAACACCCCAGCCTCTCTCTCTCCTCCCACCAGGCAGAGCCTGCCATTGACCAAGGCTGACTAGAAGTGCAGGAGCCCGGGGACCCCATTCCTGAGGTCAGCCAGGTACAGGAAAGACGAAGGTTGCTCTGGAGGTTGCTCCCCGAGCCCGGCCCACCCCATGCCCAGGCTACATCAGGCAGCCATGGAGTGCAGGCCATTGGAGACACTGGTTCCAGCCTGGCCTCCGTCCCAACTGCCTCGGTTTCCCCACTGTGACTTGGGAAGGAACCAAGAACTAACACAGAGAAGGGCCAAAGTGGAATGGCCGCCTGAGCCTGTGAAGGGCAGCTTTGAGGACCTCAGTGCCGGCCACCTCACCAGACAGAGATCAGACCTCTCCTCAGGTCCCCCACTGACAGCACCGTATCTCTGAGCTCTTCCCCAGCTGCCAAGTAAATAACATGTAAATGAGCTCCTATTTCATCTAAAGCATATGCAAACAAGCTATACTTTTAATCCAGTCTGACTCCCTGGGGGAGGGGGTCTGGATTGGTAGTGACAATGTGAGTCTCCAGGGGAGGAATGTCACCTCCCTGGGCCTCAGGATCCTGAAGAATCAATACAGTTGGTGCTCCCTAAATTATAGCTTTATTATCCTAGTTACTAATTCAGCCGTATTTCTCTGTTTTCCCACTGTGCACCACGCACTGACTGGCAGGCATGATCGAAACACCTAAATTCCCTTCTTTGCCTCTTTGTCCAAAGAGGCAAATAAGTGACTTTCACACTACTTTAGAAGGCAAATAGTGACATGAAAAAAAGATTAAGGGAAAGGAGGAGTTGGAGGTTGCAGGGAGTTTGCAGTTTGAAATGGGGTAGTCAGGGGAAGCCTTGCTGAGGTGGCATTGGAGCAGAGACCTAAAAGAGGTGAGGAGGGAACCAGGGTGAGGCCTGGGGAAAAAACAGGCTAAGCAGAAGTCAGAGCACCAGCACGTGCAAAGGCTCAGAGGCTGGACAGTGCCTAATGGAGCGAGATGAGTGAGGGGATGAGAGGGAGGAGGTGAGGGCAAGGAGGTGACAGGGAAGGTCGTGCAGGGTCCGGTGGCCGCGGGAACACTTGGGCAGTTTACCCTGAGGGACGTGGGAGCCATGGAGGGCAGTGGGCAGAGCAGGAACGTGCTGACTTGGTGCTCACTCGCGCCCTCTGGTGGCCACTTCTGGGAGGACAGGCTGTGGGGTCCGAAGACCAAGTATGATTCAGGGGCTCACGGGCGCCTTTTATTGGCTGTAGGGCAGAACAGGCCGTGGGTGGCGCCTGGAGACCAGGGAGCGGACTGCAAAGGATAGTGGGGAAGGTTGCCGGGACAGATGAGGAGACAGGGGGTGGGAGCGTGGTGAGGGGGTGGGGGATGGGGAGAATAGTGTGGAGGGATGGTGGGATGGTGGGGTTCCATCCAGGTGGAGCTGGGGGATGGGGTTGATAAACAGGTTGGTCCTTATTTTTTTAAAGGTTTTATTTATTTATTTTTAGGAGGAAGGGAGGGAGAAAGGGGAAAAAACATCAATGTGTGGTTGTCTCTCGCTCACCCCCTACTGGGGACCTGGCCTACAACAGAGGCATGTGCCTTGACTGGGAATCGAACCAAAAACCTTTTGGTTTACAAGCCAGCACTCAACCAATCCACTGAGCCACACCAGCCAGGGCCAGGTGTATTTTTAAACTGGGCCCTACAGGTTTGTGATAGATTTGGTGTGGAGATTGAGGGAACTAGATATGTTGAGGCTGCCTCCAGGATTTGGGAGAACCTTGAGGATGGAGCTGCTGTAAGGAGGAAGGAGAAGGTTCAGGGGGGCAGGTTTTAGGGGAAGATCAAGAGTTCAGTTTTGGCATTGTGAGTTTGAGGCTCTGGTGGCAGGTGCACCTGGACACTGGTAGGCAGTCATCCATGCAGCAGACTGATTGTCTATGCTTCCTAACAAATTCCCCCAAAAGCAGTGCCTTAAAACAACACGTGCATTTATTATCTCAGTTTGCAGGCCACAGAGCTGAGTTCTCTGCTCGGGCTGCACTGATGGTGTTGGCCAGCACTGGACCTTATCAGGAGGCTAGACTGGGGAAGGGTCCACTTTCAGCTCCCCCAGATGGCCACAGGATTTATTTCCCTGTTGTTGTAGAACTGAGGGACCCCTTCTTGCTGGCCGTTGGCTGTTTCAGCTTCTTGCCATTTGGTGTTTTATCCCAAGTGAGGTGGGGCCTTGGAGAGTTTGGGGCAGAGGAAGGGTGTGGTCTGGTGTAAGAGGAAGGGGGGAGTCAAAATGGCTGTTTATTTCTTTGGTTGTTCATTATCCATTTCTTCAATGTTCCTCCATATAACACACAGGCACACACATGCACTGGGGGAGGCAGAAGCTGTGCCCCTTGTGTCCTGAGGGTCCAAAATATCACTTGCCCGCTGCAGGCACACAACAAACACATTCTAAGAAAGGAAGAGGTGAAGGGGAGTGCTCATCAGTGTTGTTGCTGTTGCTGTTTCAAGTTTTCGCTGCCCTTTTCTAAAAATCATTCAGAGCTGAAAGTGAGGACACACCCCAAGAGGCTGGGTTTACTGGATGACCTGCTGTTTTCTGTCCCTGGTATAATACAGGAGGCGGCAGGCCAGGTGTTCACAGGGGCTGCTGCCCCATCCAGTGTCAGCTCCCGGCTGATATGTCACTTCCCACCTCCCCAGTGCCTCGAAATTGTCCATTGTCCAGTGGCCAGTCCCCTGACTCAGACTCACGCGCCTCTGTGGCCGCCTGCCCCTTTTTCCTTGGGGACTCTAACAAGGAGGCCTTGTTCTTCCCCGAGGACAAGAACGCAGAGAACCTGCCAGTCTACCCCCCTCCCCCTACCCTGGAAAAAACTGGCTCTCCATATGGGACCAAGCAAGGACCGGAGCAGTTCTGCTGAG